TTTTTATCTCTACTATTTCTTAAGACTCAGAGAACTCCCCATAAAAATTTTAAAACATTTTGAACTCATTTGACAAGTCAAACTGATTTTCTAAGCTAAATAACATTTTTGACACTAAAATGATTTTTAATAATCAAAATATAACTTAAAAAATTATGAAAATAAGTTTTTAGAGTTCTCTGTGATCATAGGGTTTTTCTAAAAATAAAATGGTGATTAAAATAAAAATCTCATTTTTAGCCTATTTTTAAATACTAAAATAATTAAAAAATAACAAAAATAACAAAAATAACAAAATTTTTGAAATTTTTTTCTAAGTATTTAAGAACAATTGGAATGTTTAACAAAAATAACAAAAATAACAAAATTTTTGAATTTTTTTTCTAAGTATTTAAGAACAATTGGAATGTTTTTCTTGACTTTCTAAATGAAGATATTGAATTTTAAAGCTTAAAGTAATTTTTAAAGGCTAAAAATTGAATTTTTATCAAAATAATTCCAATAAATCAAAGAAAAATAAAAAAAAAATGAAAAATTTGTTCTTTAGGTTCTCTGACCTTAGGGAGATTTTTCAAGAACATAAAACTTAATTTTCAACTATTAAATTATTTTATAATTAATAAATACTCTAGAAATTAAAATATTTCTAATAATTCAGAAAAAAACTCAATAAATCATGAAATTTGGTCCAAATGGTTCTCTGATCTAAGTCTAACTCCAGTAAAAATTTCAATGGATTAGGCTTTGCCTTGGTCAAGTTATGGAATTTTCTTTAAAAAATCTTATTTTTGCATAAAAATAATTATGTAAATTAAATTAAATTTTGAAAAAAATCGTTTTTTCTCCTCTGATATTTTAATTGGCTCATGAGTAAGGCAATATAAAAATTTTGAAGTCATTTGAATTAAATTTGACAGATTATGAAGTGATAGAGCCTTAGGGGCAAAAGTGTAATTTTGGAAGTTTAGCCTTAATTAATATTTAAGCTTAATTCAAAGAGAGAAAATGGTAACCTTTGATTTTAACTAATTCATTTGGATGATTGAAACCGAAAGGGGGATTAATTGGTAGAAACCAATCTCACTTTTGTTAATTAAAAAATAAATTTATAATTTCCTTAAATTATTAAAATTTGGAAGTCTAGTCAAATAAATGATTATAAACTTAGGGGTATAGTTTTGGGTGTTAATAACTCACTAATTTAATACCCCTATTTGATGTTCAAATGACTTTCAAAAAAGAATCATCATCACTTAAAATTTTAATCTCTTTCTAAGACATCAACCAAAATCTTAAGGGCTTAGTATTGGCCTAAGCTAAATCAAATTTGGTTAAATAAGGATTAGAAAAAGTGGACATATGTAAAATTAAACATCTTTGGAACACTACAAGCCCAAATTAAAAAATTGGCTGAGTGCCTTGATAACATTAACTTGCCCCTTTTAAGGGACTTCACCCACATAATTTACAAATTAAATCACAAATGATAATTACCCTACTCTTAGGGATAATTGAAACATCATTCTTCATTGAGCATTAAAGGTATTTATAGGATGTATTATTAAGCAACATAATAAGTTTAAATGAGCTTGAGACTTTTCACCATACGGTGAGAGGGAAGCATGGACCTGCTTCTTCCTCCATATCTTTTGGATAGCTCGGAGGTCTACTAAACTAATATGTTTTGCTTAACAAAAATTATCCTTAATTAAACTAATAGGGACCCACCGATATATGACCTAGGGTTAGGTAGGTCGCCAAAACCTTATTTTTTCTGCTTTACATAAATGTTCTAACATGCATTTTGAGTTTCAGGTGGTGGAACGAGAAGATGCACCATGTACGCTTTTATAGTTTACAGCATTGTCTTTTCTTAAGCTTTCCACATTGTGCTTACCTACCTGCATGTATGAACAAAACACAAACTTGCATACTAAACAATGATGTCACCTTGCATGAAAACTAAAACTATCACGATAGCCACAAAATCAAAATCAAAACCAAAATTTAAAATCAACCAAGATAAAATTCACCGCCATAAAATTCAAAATATAAAACAACTCAAGATTTAATAACAAACATCACACAAAACAACAACTACAACTAAATTAAGACGTCTCCATCGGATAATCGGGAATACCTCGGAAGAGGTAACCTACGGTTGCTAACGAGGCTTCCCACGGTCTAAATGAAAGTATGGAACTCATTAAGTTGAGTTTAATAAATTCATTTGGACTAAGTGAATCCAATAAGAAATAGTGGTGTCGGAATGAGGGAACTGTAGGATCCTAACCGGGGTCGCTCTAATCAACTTTAACATCCCCCATAAA